TATTTTAAACCCTCAACGTTTAATCGCGAATACCACCAAAATTTATTTTTTGAAGAAAGAAAGCCTCAAAAATTTTGGTGGGAAAAAAGTGATGGGATTTGCGCAAAAAATTTGGGGAAATTTCGTTAGTTTCTGTACATTTTTAGTATATATATATTTTATATTATACGATATTGATATGTATATATTATTTTATATGATATTTATATATTTTCCCAATTCGTATGCAAACTCCTACGATAAGTAAGGAAACTATTGAGCTCAGCAGCTGAGGAAAGCGAACATATTTCAAATCACTTTTTATGACTTCATCTCAGGGGGTAGGGTAAACCCGAAACCCGAGCTATTATACGGGTAAAAGCTGTAATGAAAGGCAACCAGAAACCCGAACTGCTGAGAGCGAGCGACAAGCCTCCTTGGATTTTGTCGTAATTTACCCCTACATCTACACACACACTGAAGCTCCGCATTTTCCCCGACTGCAATGATTATCATAAAAATGCTGAGAACAGATCAGCGGCGTGCTCACTACACCTCTCCCGAGTGTTGAGAGCGCTGCCAGAGTCGTGGAATGCACAGTAGAATTTGTATCAAGATTAAATCTTGCAATCTTGCATTTCCTCAACACAAAAGTTGCACGCATGCGCAATCCCACACGAAGATTCGGGGAGAAGAATTGAAAGCTTTTCGTTTCAGCGGGTTGATTTGAGATGATAATTGACATCTGGAAGGAGTCTGTCCTTCGCCGACTTGATTTTCTATATCTGTTGTGAAATTGGTGTTTTTTCAGATATACTTTGTGTGTGAGATGACGACGTGAATTACCTCTGTGTGTGTGCGTGCGTGCAGAGGAAACCATGTCACTGTTGAGCTCATCGGTGTTTTAGACCTTGACCATTTTGATGGTCCTTAATAAGGAGCAATGCAAGATTGCATTATCACGTCTTACTGCTCTGAGGCTTCCACCGACTTTACTTTGTATGATGCTGATGATATGTATCAGTGCATCTTCTAGCAGCCTATGATGTTCCCGGGAAGGAACTCATTCTCTAATTTACATGTGGCTAGGAATACATTCTTCGAACAGTTTGTGAATGTAAATGTAAATGTCATCATCACACTAGGAACATTTTTCCTATTGTTATCAAACCCAGCGGGGGCTTATTTCGTAAAGCTAGATGTGTATATTACTACTATTGACCTAGTGTGATTATTAATCTATTTTTCCAAGCACATGTTTGTTATGGTAGATCATACTAGTCATATATGGAACGTTTATCGAGCTACTACCTTCTTTATAGTAATATCTTCTGTGTGCGTTATTCGTATCTTCAATAGTATCCTTCGCTCGCCATTGTATATTTGTAACCGTCATCAAGTGTGCTAGCAACCCCAGGATGCATTTGAGGTTATTACGACATCATTTTTATATCGGAGAATTCCATACTAGTTTTATTATTGTAGTTGTTATTATAGAAAGATAATCATATGGTGAATTCGCTTACGAGTTGCTGCTGTGGTTGCTCTCTGAAGACCGGTGTGAAAACACTCGCAATAATCGACATTCTCCTCGGAGTTTCCACTATCATTTCCCTCACATCTGTAATGGTGGGCCACTTCCGGACCTGTTTTGTATCTTTCGTAGATGAACCTAAGATTCTCAGATCAGCCAAGTCGAGACTCATCAGCATTCAACTTGGACCTATATGGGCGTCGAGTATTCCTCCGACACTCCTCTTGATCTCCCTAAGCTTGATCACGTCATCAACGTTCTTAATGTAAGTCACTTGGTCAAGTTGTTTCCATCTCCTATCGTTCAGTCCATCGGCAACGTGACAGTTCTCCTGTTCTTCGTGTCTGCTATAGTGGCATTACGAGGAGTCTCCAAGGGAAAGTGAGTGTATCAATGTTGCGCGTCTTATCGTATTGTATCTCGCGCTGAAGTAATAGCGCGAGATATTTGAAAAATCATTAACTATTTTCGGAGAGGCACTAGGGGTAGTAGTAATATCCAAGGACGTATACTATTTACAAGTACACTCATGTCAAGTACGTAAAGAAGCACGATGTGTAAAGCACGTCTTTATTACTCAGGTTAAAGTATTCCGGTCTCATTTCTGTATACTTATATACACTTATATAGCTGTATGAGTAGAATTAACTATACAGACACGCTACTTACACTTATAATAGCCCGTGTTTCACTTCATATGGAGTGAATTGTCCGGTGTAGTTCGTGAATAGTTTACAATGCACTTCACATAGTGTTTTTACGTAGATGCCTTTTCACGTTCAACGGGTATAAGCCCGCTATACACGGTGCGTTGTGAAGTACTACGTGTTTCTATGCTGGATATACATTGCATATACTGTACACATAAGTTTTATTGTTTCACTAGCCTACGTTTCGACGAAGTCGCTCTTCCCTCGGTTAAGGTTGAAGCGGAAATGACGCATCAAGTTGAGTCGAATTTTCGCAGATGTCTAATTTCCACGTTGATGCTGATTTAATAACTCGTCACCACTACTGAGTTCCGTTTCACTGTAAACCCGGCAGGTCAAGACTAGTTCGCCAGTATGCCATGATCCGCGCTATGGAAGTGGCTCTGTCAATCGCCCTCTCTATCTGGTTGCTTGTGATTATTCCCCGTCTAGCACGGGAGTTCATTGACGCTGTCCTTGAACAGATGCGAGAGGAGGTGAGCAGGTCGCATGCAGTGACACATTCAACTTTGAGGGATAACGTTCTCCAGGGTTTGATAACAGTGATGAGAATGTTTGAAGAATGTGTTACTAGCCACGCGGAAAGTTCAAAATGAGTTCCCTCGGAAACATTATAGGTTTCTGGATGAACTCCTGGTCGCATGCGATGTCTCCTTTTGATCTCCCTCCGTTTCGGTCGTCATTCTTGCAATTTTACTCGATTTGATTTCGTGATATCGCTATATATGGATAATTGTGATTACACGCCAGAGCTTACATCTTGGCATTGGAGTAAACTTATACCAAGATGGCGTTGGTTCCCTCATGCAACTATATGTAGGCCAAAAAACACCACGAGGATCCTCCAGAAGTTGACGAGGAGGCGCTCATTAAGAGTGAGTCTTCCATCCGAGTCGTTCAAGCCCGACGCATTCTATCAGTCGTAACATTCGTCCTCTCCACGGTGTTCATCATCATGGAAATTTTTGGGGTTCTCCTGAAGCTGTATTTTGTATGGGTTGTCAAGAGCTGTGCTGATTGGATGGAGGTGAGCCGTGCTAAAGGGTCCGGTACATTTACGATGGTGTTCAGCGCGGTGTGGATCCTTATGCGCCTATCTATCTGGTAACTGAGCCGAGCACTAACCGCAATGTACGACTTCATAGTGTTCATCATAAAGAAGACTTCTCTCAGGCTTATCAGCCAGCTAACGTCATCCTCGGGCCTCCCGTAGCGGCGCCTGCGAGTGATCAGCCAACGGCGTCGTTGTTGGTCTCAGAGGGACCACAGAACCCTTCGGTAGGATTGCATGTGTGAGAAATGCTTAGGAGTTTGCGTGCTAGGCACCTGTTCTGTTGGGAGAAAATCAACCAGGGAGTGTTGCAGGTGGGTTGATTGAGTGATGAAACTACTGTGTTGACTATAATACATGCAATTGATCAATGTGGTAAAATATGTCTGCTGGTGAAAACGCTTATTGATTTCCTCACACTCCTGTGTAAATCCTATAATCAGAAAGGATGAAGTGTTTTCACTCACTTGAATGCAGACCATGATGTTCGTCTTATCGCAACAAGCATTTGAATGAGGTTTTCACATGAATTGCGAATGGAGTGGTATGGAGTTTTGTCTCGATAAGGTACACACAATCAAGCAGTTAGTGGTGATGCGTATCCCCGTATTTGAGTATTGATATTATTTCGTTCTGACAAGTTGGCGATATGGTTTATCGCTATTCCATATCATTAGTTGATGTAATCACTAGAGGCTTGTAAGCCACTTTTATTAATAAAAACACCACGTTGATTTGTGTACAGTTATGGGCGAGCGCGTCTCCTCCTGATGAACTCTTCATTGAAATGATCGTCTACACTGTCACATTGCAGCGAGTGTAGTTGTAGAACATAACAGTAGCATTATGAATGAGTTGAGCAGTATCGATGTGAGCACAGCTCGGTTGAGTTGGGTAGACAGTGTCTACAATTCCCAAGATTACGCTTTTGTGAATCTCCCACATAACACTAGCGAGAGTATGATGACCATGATGATTATCATCCATTTTCATGCAAAAGGAGTTGTTGTGCATTGTGTCTTTTCATCCCTTGTTTAGACACCTATAACATTTACTAGCCCTATGCGAGTCTTAGCGCTAGGGTCTTTATATATTCATTTATTATGTTGAATAAGCTTCCACAAAGTCTTGTACTTGGCGTTAATTTCTAATCATTTAAACTTTTGGGAAAAGAGCTGTTGTGAATTACAACGATCGATCAATCGCCATCGTTGACTCGATGTAGCTAATTTCATTGCCAACCGAGAGAGAGTGTGACAAAACTGAACGCTATCATATCACCAAAATGCGCATTGTTGCGATCAACTGGTTATAAGGACAAGGCAATTAATGTCGAATACAAGAGGGACGAACAGTACTTGGCGGTTCCAAGCTGTGACGGTACAGAATTGACAAGGAGTTCAATGAGCCCTTTACGAGAAGGAAGCGCCTCCAACGTAGGTGGCCCGAGTCCCACGGTAGCCTGCGGTGGCACCGGCGACTCTCGCCAGTTGTTGTTGGGCGGCCTTCTTGAAGTGGGGGTGTTCACTGTAGTCTACTGTCATGAGAATGCCGTTTTCAAGGAGGACGTTTTCGGGATGAACTTTTATTAATGGCTTGCCTAAATCATATCTCATGCAGAGGAGCTCAGCGTAGGTCTCTATGCGGTAGGCGACCATGTCACTTAACTTGCTGAGGGTCTGAGCACGGAGGACGATAAGTGAGTTAGTTCACGACATTCCGTCACGCGTCACGAAATACTAATGGCTACTTCCGTAGCTACGATTTGCTCTGACCATCACAAAGTAGGAATTCCTGATGGTCAATTGAGCCTCTAGCACACTGAGCAATTCCCGACTCACATCGTCTTCGTCATCGGCAAGAAGGCGACTGAGATCAACTGTCCCTTTGATGTCCCCGGACCCTATCATGTCCAACAGTGCAGATCTGAGGAGCTCACAGGTGATGCGGCGTTCGTGACGGTCGGAGCTTTCGAGCGCCATCAGCTTGAGCTGTTCAGTGGCCTGAATGAGCTCGGGAGCTGATGGCGGTTCGTCTTCCTCGTCGGAGCCCTCAGTGAAGGGGATGGGGGGCGCTGGCCCCATGATGGTGAACCTTTTATGAGTCGGTTTGTGACGCGGCATTTAGATAGTCGTCTGAGACGGTGAAGATTGTTGATGGGAATCGGGGCGTCAACAGAGATGCGCTTTCGGCGGAGCGAAGTGATTCATATTCTGCATTTTCGCCGCGTCAATCGCAAAACCTCAACGAGGAGTTATGTGCCACATGTGAAGCAGTTTCCCATCGATACTGCGTTTTTCGAGTGAAAGAAACCCTAATCGAGGAACCGACTTTGGTTATTCAACTTTAATGGTGGCCACGAGTCTTTTTTTGTCTCTTTTTTTGCTACGGCATGATGTGATCGTAGTGCTATGGTCAGGGCCATCCTTGATAGTATTCCAAAGAGGATCAATTTCGTTCTATCCCATGTTTTATGCTTTCAATCGTCAATCTGGGTTTGCCTTTATCAGTCAATTAACCAGTTTAGTGACACAGTATCTTGGATAATCATCGGGTAGCTGTGGCATAGTTGCCCCTGATGGAGAGTTTGATCCTGCCGAAGTGGCATAACTGCCCCGTCGCTTGCGAGCTTCAACTAGGGCGAATCTTGGGTAGCATAGCCTCCCCGCCTTGAGAGATTAATTTCACTCAGGCACATCTTTTTGCTGGCATAGCTGCCCCGTCCTGAGAGATTGATCTCATTAAGGTAAATCTCGAGTGGCCTACTTGCTCCGCCTTGTGAGATTGATCTCACTAAGGCCAATCTTGGGTGGCATAGTTGCCCCACCTTGAAAGATTGATCTCAGTGAAGCAAATCTTGGGCGGCATAGCTGCCCCCCTGTGAGATATTGGTCTCATCTAGGCAAATGCTCGGTGGCATAACTGCCCCACCTTTGGGAGATTGATCTCAGTAAAGCGATTCTCGGGCGGCATATCTGCCCCATTTTTGTGCATGGTTACCGAAGTTTTTCTCAAAGCATCTCTGGTTGAGTTATTGACACGCAGACATACCGACCGAATCACGTCCACTGTGAGTGTCTCAATACATGCCCTCTGATCAATGAATCGGTCAAACATGCAGGTTAATGCATGACTGACGTATGAGTGTTCACTGATAGACCAGCGCAGTACGTGTATCGGCATTGTGAAGGTTTACTCTGCTATATATCTCATGTGGAGAAGGGACGCAATAACGCTCATCATTTAGCATAGCAGAGATTGCCGAGAGGGCAATTTGGGATTACAAAGTCTTGCGGACGGTGTGGTATTCGCTCACAGGCTATTATTAACCCTTCAGAGGCCGACTCTCGTTGTGTTGCGGTTATAACTTCCACTTCCATCATTTCCTTAGACATCAGTCGCCATAAAATGTCACACCATACTCTGCAATTTGTACAACTCGTCGCACCATTTGTGTGGTTTGTGTTGCTCAAGATATTCATGAGTGCTGCAAAAGTGTACCTTACTAAGTCGCTCGATACCAATGAATTCTCGTTACTTTTCGTTAATGGTTTGTGCTGCTCAGAGCATCTTCATGCATTTAGTTGCTCGTGTTCCTTCCTATCTTAAATGCGCGTTGTTGTTCTCGCTGCCATCGCTAGAGGTGTTGTAGGTTTCTCTAATACGGTTTCGGAGGATACTTTGCCGACTGGGAACTACTGCGAGGAGATGTGCACTCAGACTGCTGGTTGTGATCAGTCATACTGCAAGGATAACGGTCTATGCTTTGGTCTCTACCACAAGGGAGAGTCCAAGTGTTATCAACCCGGTGGTGAAGCTACCGATTGCGACGACTCTGCACTAGAGCCGGTCCAGTGTGCTGAATATCCTGTTACTACTTGCGATGATGTTTGTAGTAGCATCGAAGGATGCAAGGAGTCGAAGTGGGGTACTTATTGTAAGACTTGGCAGGATCCCCCAGTCTGTTTTGGTATCATCGTCAAGGAGGATGGTAGCCTCTGCTTCAACCCTATTGATGAGGAGTGTGTTGGGGAGCCTTATCAGTGTGAGATTGCTCCCATTGAGACCACTGTTATCCCTGAGACCACGATTGAGCCTACTGATGTTCCTGAGACCACCGTTAAGCCCACTGATCTCCCTGAGACCACCGTTGAGCCCACTGATGTCCCTGAGACTACCGCTGAGCCCGTGGACTATCCAACCAACGAAGATCTAGCTGGAGACTGGTGTGGTGAGACTCCTCTCGGCCCCATTAAAGTCACCCCCGAGGTTTCGGGTGCGGTTACTCTATTCGTTGGTGGTCAGACGTTCACTGCCGAATACTATTTGGACGGCTATGAAATTGTGTTTACTAATCCGGATGAGGCTTTAGCAGCGTTGCTTGATGAGTTGGATTCGAGCTTATACGCTCTCTACACCGAGGAAGGTGTCTACGTTGAGCTAGTCAATGTCTTCACCACTACTATCACCAGATGCTAGTTGCCTCATATTAGAAGATATGGATTGTGGAGTCGCAGGCCGCGACTTATTCTTGGATGTCATATCTATTGAAACTCTGTAATTGATGAGACGTTTGTCTCTGAGGTCAGACCGCAGTGATGTGAAAGTTGATTTTTTATTTCATCTATAGACTTTGAGTCGTGTTGATCACAGTGATATATACTGAGTCAGCATACTGAGTCAGTATGGTGAAATTCCCTGGCTGGGGCAGCTATGCCACGGCGAGATATGCCTCAGCAAGATCGATATTTCCAGTTGCAATGGCTGTGCTACCACATCATATGTCTCGGTATGGCCAATTTCTCGAGGTGGGGCAGTTATGCCACCTTCAGATATGCTCTAATACAAACAGTCAAGATGAGAACATCAATTCGACCCGATAGCAGCCATCGTTCCAGGGATTCCCAGGGCTTGATCGGCGTCAGCTTGGCGTTGTGAATGAACACGAAGCCAGGGTTGGCATATCTGCCCCTGAATGGGATTGGCCTTGCGAACAGGTTATCCGTGTCACCCAGTGTAGTCGGAGTTGTATAAGACGACCCGACGAAAGCGTTATTCCGGCCAGATACGCTTGCGGAGCTCATTGTACTGCAGCTTATCTAGAGATGGCATAGCTGCCCCAGCTGAAGGAATTGATTGTATCGAGAGGGGAATAATCCCAGGATAGGCATACCATTGCGGAGCTCCATTTGCCGATTCTCGGAAGCTGTGGAGCTCCGCCCAACCACCGCTGTAGGCGTTTATCACTAGTCGAGTTGAATCATCGGGACACTACAGGTGTTCGGCATGGATCTGTAAGAGAGTCGGATAGTAAAACCCTCACATGGTCCTGTATATTGTCTCGCGATCATACTGCCGCAATTTACCAATACCATCTCTGGGTTAGGCTGAAATAAGACGCGATGGATAGTTAGAGGAAAACAAAAAAGCACACCTTGGTTCCGATGTAGCACACCTTATTCTTAAATACTCATTTTCGTTATCGATCCATTCCCACCTGAGGAAACGCATCTGGTGCGTTCAACTTAGTCCCTAGTCAATTGGCACTGGCTGAAACCCGGGCCCATGGGAAAACTGACCTCAATTGAGCCTTATTCGTCATCATTGACGCTGAGTTAATCCCATGCGCAACCAAACCCAGAGATAATGAGCAGGCTGCCAAGATGACAAGAATGCTCTAGTCACGACATGGAAACAAGTACACAACCAAATTATGACGATCTCCCAAATGCGGACCGACCTAAAGGCGGGCGAGAGCTATTGTGTTATCGTAGTTACGCATTCGCGAAGATATGTGTCAAATGTAACGGAAATCATCCCATGGCCGCTAGTGCATAACTCTCCTAACCGACTTCGAAATTTGTACAGCTCACTGCATAGTGTTTGGGTGCGCTTCTGGTCTGTCTCACTGAAAGGCTTCAGTAAGTCTGGCCGGTCGTGTAGGATTTCATGAATTTCAGTTGCTCGGGTTCCTTTGTCTGTCCCTGTCATGCGCGTCGTCATTTATGCTGCCATCCTTGGAGGTGCTGTAGGTTTCTCGAATACGATCTCAGAGGATACTCTGCCGACGGGCAACTACTGCGAGGAGATGTGCACCCAGACTGCTCGCTGTGATCAATCATACTGCAAGGATAACGGTCTATGCTTCGGCCTCTACCACAAGGGAGAGTCCAAATGTTATCAGCCCGGTGGTGAAGCTACCGATTGTGACGACTCCGCATTGGAGCCGGTCCAGTGTGCTGAATATCCTGTTACTACTTGTGATGATGTTTGTAGAAGCATCGAAGGTTGCAAGGAATCGAAGTGGGGTACTTATTGCAAGACTTGGCAAGGTCCTCCAGTCTGTTTTGGTATCATCGTCAAGGAGGATGGTAGCCTCTGCTTCAACCCTATTGATGAGGAATGCGCCGGGGAGCCTTATCCGTGTGAGATTGCCCCGATCGAGTCCACTACTGTTCTTGAGACTACGGTTGATACCACTGTTATCCCTGAGACCACGATTGAGCCTACTGATGTCCCTGAGACCACAGCTGAGCCCGTGGATTATCCAACCAACGAAGATCTAGCTGGAGACTGGTGTGGTGAGACTCCTCTCGGCCCGATTAAAGTCACTCCCGAGGTCTCGGGTGCGGTTACTCTATTCGTTGGTGGTCAGACGTTCACTGCCGAATACTATTTGGATGGCTATGAAATTGTGTTTACTAATCCGGATGAGGCTTTAGCAGCGTTGCTTGACGAGTTGGATTCGAGCTTATATGCTCTCTACACCGAGGAAGGTGTCTACGTTGAGCTGGTCAATGTTTTCACCACAACTATAACGAGATGCTAATTAACTCATATTCGAATATGGATTGTGGGCTCGCAGGCCTCGACTTATTCTTGGATGTCATATCTATTGAAACTCTGTAATTGATGAGACGTTTGTCTCTGAGGTCAGACCGCAGTGATGTGAAAGTTGATTTTTTATTTCATCTGTAGACTTCGAGTCGTGTTTATCACAGTGATATATAGTGCTTAGCTCTTATAGTGTCACTAGAACGCGAGTTTTCGGTTGTAAACATCTGAGGCTGACCAGGACCGGGTATCTGATCATGAAGTGTGGCAATCTGGGGTCATTGAATATTTTTCTGTATGACAGTCGTTGGCATTACATATTATCCTATTGTACCGTCGAAAATGCCAAAGGTAAATTGTATGCCTTTTGATATCTGGTTCTACTATTACTTGATAGTAGAAGTGATACTCTTTTTTAGAGGTTCTTCCATCCTCATTTCTTACGGTGGGGCAGCAATGACATCTCGCGATATGCCTCGGTAATACTGAGTCAGCATACTGAGTCAGTATGGTGAAATTCCCTGGTTGGGGCAGTTATGCCTCCCTTATATACCTCAGTATGGTAAACGACTTCGGTTGGGGCAGTTATGCCACTCCAAGATTTGCCTCAGTATGATAAATTTATCGAGGTGGGGCAGTTATGCCACCTTCAGATATGCTCTAATACAATCATTTAAGATGAGAACATCAATTCGACCCGATAACAGCCATCGTTCCAGGAATTCCCAGGGCTTGATCAGCGTCAGCTTGGCGCTTTGAGCGAACACGAAGCCAGGGTTGACAATGACGACTGTCTGACGACTGTATCGATCCGAGTCTAACCGTGTTGTCGGCGTTGGACTTCAAACTCACACACATGACGAGTGGATTGTAAATGGTGAATCTAATGAGAAATGCCGCTGCATATGGTCTGTGTGGTCTCGTTGACTTGAATATGTGTCAATGACATTTCTGTGTTTGTATCCCGCAAAGAGGAGAATATCTGAGGAGATGCTTCCAAAGCTGTTTATAACGGCATCCACACTTTTCCAATACTACTTAGTGCGTTAACTAAACGGTGACGCGAACTTTGAGAGGACGGTTACCAATTCTGTCCATGTCAGAGAGACCTTCAAAGACATTATTATGATGTGAAACCATCGATAGCGTGCCGGAAACTTCCCACTGTCCAATGAAAAACAACCGATAAATAAATCTACACGATGTTTCGCTTCGAACTGTTTTACGGATATCGATAAATTGGTCATCGTTTGATGTCGCTCTATTACCTCATTGCGGAGCAAACGGAGCATATATTGTCACTCTGCACATTTTTAACAATCGTTCGTTCGATCAAACTTCTGCCATCATTTCGAATCGAAATCTTGGAGAGTAGCTGACTAGCGGCGCATGAACGATGTTAATAGAGTGCATTGCCCTTACAGTGGACTAGATATCACATGATATAAATGTCATATACAAATTTCTGAACTCACATTCAAGTTCCAGGCATTATGGGAGGAGGGTTCATGAATTTTTGTTCCACCATTAGCCAGATTCCCTCTCCTGAAGATATGGGAGAACATCATGTAAGACATCATAATAGCGCTCGACAGACGATAGACACACTTGACAGAGCTACGCGTTGAGGAGAAAATGAGTTACTAACACAACACGATCACCCGGATACAACACGCCAATTCCTATAGCCTCGATGAGCTTGATGGTGTGATATAAGAAAGGTCCGAACATACGCACGCACATTCACGCTTGGGTATTGGGAAAATCGGCCTCTTCTTGAAATATGATGACAGTGAGATTTCATAGACGATAGCACTCGCAGCTCATCTCTATTAAACCACAGTAATAGGCTCGGTAGAATATTCAGTAGAGCTTGTAGTAGGTTCCCCCGTTGGAGCTCCACTCGATTCCTCGGTAGCTTCTTCGGTAGGGGTCTCAGTCGTCTCCTCCGTAGGGGTCTCAGTCGTCCCCTCGGTAGAGGCCTCAGTGGTGAACACTTGTCCACATGGATAAGGGGTACCATCACAGCCCTCATCGACACTCTCGTAACAAAGCTCACCATCATCCTTCACGAGGATGCCGAAACAAACAGAAGGTTGGACCCAAGTCTTGCAGTATGATCCAGAGATCGAGTCGCGGCAACTTGCAATAGCATTGCACTCCTCATTGCACTCCCATGTAGTAGTGGTGGGTGGCATATCCTCACACGTTACGGTAGATAGCTGTTATGGTAGATAGCAGAGTGAGAGCACTGAGTAGGATTTCCTGAAGACCGTGGGACGCTTCCACCGTTTTACTTGGTGTAATATTTCAGAGTCCCGGCCATTGACATGCCCGTTCTGTGAAGCACGACTCCCTGGTCATGGTCTACTCATGGATTTCATCATAAACCTGCTCATCAGAGCGAAGCAGCAAAATCTGATTGAACTCATGGAAATGTGCCTCTCAAAGATGGTGTTACAATCTTGCATGTGATCTTTCCTTCCAATATTTTCACAATCCTCATGGATAGAGATTGTATATAGCCTCGAAACTTATTATATAGTCTCTGGTTGACTTCTGATTAGCCATCAGTTTGTGAACTGGTAGTTTCGACGACTCGAAACCCATCAATCTCTTTACGCGTCACCACGAGATAAAGCAGTCAAATGGGCATCTTGCAGCAGCTATGAAGCATGCGCTTCAACACTCCTGTTCGATCACAACAGCGCAGCATCGAAGAAGAGTCGAGCCATAAATACAACACAATACTCATCACTATCTCACAGTACTTCATGTCGCCACATCGCACTCTGATATGAAATATGCAAACGGCTCAGGAATGCGCTGAAATATATGTTCACGTATTTGGAAGAGACGAGCCACTGATATATAATGAATGGTTGACTTCATAGACAGTCGTTGAATACAGCTCATCTCCATTGAACTACAGCGGTGGGCTCAAGGGGAGCTTCAGTAGGCTTTTGAGTGGTCTCTTCGATAGGGGCCTCAGTGGTCTCCTCGGTAGGTTCCTCAGTGGTCTCCTCGGTTGGCACCTCAGTGGTCTCCTCGGTTGGCACCTCAGTGGTCTCCTCGGTTGGCACCTCAGTGGTCTCCTCGGTTGGCACCTCAGTGGTCTCCTCGGTTGGCACCTCAGTGGTCTCCTCCATAGGCACCTCAGTGGTCTCCTCCATAGGCACCTCAGTGGTCTCCTCGGTAGGGGCCTCAGTGGTCTCCCCGGTAGGAACCTCCGTAGGGGTCTCAGTGGTTTCCTCGATAGAGGCCTCAGTCGTCTCCTCTGTAGAGGTCTCAGTAGTTTCTTCGGTAGGGGCCTCAGCGGTCTCCTCGGTAGGGGCCTCAGTGGTCTCCTCGGCAGGGGCCTCAGTGGTGAACACTTGTCCGCATGGATAAGGGGTACCATCACAGCCCTCATCGACACCCTCGTAACAAAGCTCACCATCATCCTTGACGAGGATACCGAAACAAACAGAAGGTTGGACCCAAGTCTTGCAGTATGATCCAGAGATCGAGTCGCGGCAACTTGCAATAGCATTGCACTCCTCATTGCACTCCCAAGTAGTAGTGGTGGGTGGCATCTCATCGCATGACACAGGCGGCAGTGTATGGTCGTCACAGTCGCAGTCCAGGTCACCAGGCTGATAGCATATACCAGCATCTTTGTGATACAGACCAAAGCAGAGACCATTTTCCTTACAGTAGCTAGCTTCACATCCGTCAGTGGCCAAGCAGTGATCGACACAGTAGTCAGTAGCGACGGCGGAGCAGGCAACGAAGGCGACAGTGAAGAGTCTGTTCATTCTGTATGAGAAATTGGTATTACTAAATCGAGCGGATTGCAGCTACCACTTACGAACGGACCTTCGTGATGCCCAGTTACATCCAACATTACACTATCCTGACACGGTCAAGCTCTTAGCCATTCGAGCGACGCTTTCGAGACTCTCGAAGGTAATGGTTACAATTTTCGCGACTCACGACATGGGGACGGTTTCAAATGAACTGTTGCATCTTGTCGTTTCAGGCGCACAAAGATTCCCTCTTCCGAATGAGTCCCCAACAACTCGTATTTACAAGTGGAAGTGTACATGTCCAGCTTGTGACTTAATGCCTACCGCAGTCCTGCTCAGCGACACGAGCGGACCTTCGTTGAGACCACGCATTGTCCATGGGCTGTTCGTATGATCACGCTCTATTGCGTTTCATATGTGCGTGTTCTGTTTGGCACCCAGGGCGGGCATCCAGAACTGATCTACTAATCGTAATCAATCATCTGGTTTTGTCCACTACGTTTGCCTCAGCCCGGAGAGAGAGACAGAGGCTCACCAGCTGAATAAGAAAGTTGAGGCCAAGCTCGTTCCAAGTGTGATTAGATCTCTATTGGTCATTCAAGTAGGTCTGTGAGATGTGGGGAACTCCCAGTGATGAAGATAATGACGATATGTCGAAGCGGTGCAAGTAGTCTAATGTATCTCGATTGGTGTTATAATAAATTATTTTCGAAGCCTTTGTTGGTGATTTATTCTCGAACTAGCATGCGAAATGCACCATTCCATGTAAATTCGCGTAACGAAGAGGACCGCTTACCAAGTAATAATGCCAAAGCCCAAATGAACCGTGTACTGTTGCTCTAATGACAATCGCATTCCAAGAGGAGATATAGTAATGAAAGCTCCTCTTTTAATTCCACACTATTACTAACACAAAAAATCTCAGTAGCAGACACGCGCTCATCAGCATCACACACAAACCGTAGAGATACCAACATGGTCAGCTTTATAACAGAATTCGATCCATACCTTGGATGAGTCTTCGGTTCCTCTAGGGTCCTCTATCGTCTCGACGCTCGCCCATGCTCGGGGTCTTGGCAGCTTTTCGCCCAGTACTATTGCATTTTCTAAGGCTCTTGCATATATGCTATCACAACCTAGGAAGTTACTCATGGGTAAATCAACAAATTGGCAATTTCAATTCCATTCAATGCGAAAGTAGTCTGAGACGACGACGTCCGTCGACTCCCAGAAGAGATCTGGGATGAATTACTCTCGGAAATGTAGTAGTTGATAATCATGCGCCTCTTCCCGACATGATTTATTCATCAACCTCTGAACTGATTCGGCAAATCGTGTTGCGATAGAAGACTCTCGATGGACCACGATAAGCTGTCGTTGTCTGTGCGGGCCAGGAGTCGGGTAAGTCGCCTCCCTCAGACGCGGTGGTCTCGACGGAGCGGGTACGCGGTCTATCACTAGGTGGAGACCTAGCTGTGATGGGCTCTCACTTGCTTGTGGCGCGAAATACTCGCATACAAGCAGTGTGGGGTAATATGCGCATTGTCAACTACGTGTGTCGGTGACAATATGAAAATTCTGAAGAAATTTTAGGAAATCCTTATTGGTTTCTACCCGAACTTCTGTAAATGAATGAACCCCGAAGCTCAGTTAAAAAAACGAAGCTGCCTATAAACTCTATCAAGTGCAATTAACAACATGAACGCAACTCTAGCCTCGTTAAGCTTGGTAAAAAATATACAATTTACATGGTACAGAAGACTCCAAGTCACTGGGGTCACGGCCAGCTCTGCGTGAACGACCCTTGACCATTTTCCAGCCCTCCAGTTACTCACCGCTCTTCACAGGAAGACCACAGAAGACACTCCACTACCCAAGTGGATGTACGGTATCAAGTCTAAACTGTCGTCATCAGGGAAGGGGAAATCTCCAGTGGTCGTGCGCGCTAGGATGAAATTATCGTTCAGGCGAACCACGCTGAAAGGATAGGAAACGCTTGTGACCGAGGAGAACGATGTGTTCCTACATCTCTCTAGGGGCCGGTCTGGCTACTCCGACAACCGTAATCACATCATCGACCTCCCATTTGATCCTAGTAGTAATTGGTTCGCCCCAGAGAACATCTTCCGAGTTGCCAATCCCGGCCCTCAAAAAGCTCCCAGCGGCTCGCCAGTCACATGCGGTGACCCGAGCTCTGTAGGCGTATACGAGATGGTCATTTCCTCTAACTGTGGTCACCTTAGGCTGTACAGAAGGACCCGAGACGACAGACTCATTGGTCGAACTCAGCGCTGTATGTCGAGACTCTCCGGTCGTGGACTGCCGGGTCCTTCCACCGTGACCAACAGGGGGATCGCTCTCGCGATTGTACGAGACGATCTTGCCATCAACTAGGACGAGCTCTTCCCTATCATGTCCGCCCGTCACGTGTGCCGCTGATCGCCACAGTCGATCCCGCAGAACCTCGTGATACGGTGTATCATAGTCGGTGGTCCTCGAAGCTGCTGCTTCCAACCTCGGCTCAGCAAACTCACGAGTCGTAGTCAACTCCATCGGATTCGTTTGAGTCTCAGCTGTCGACACTGTGACGGGACAATCACCCGTCGAACGGTCTTCTGTTCGCCGTGGTGGAGGACTCGCAACGGAACTTGATACCACTCTTCCGTAACTTCCTGTATAGAAGCCACTTTGCGGTAGAGTGCTGCCCGTTGGCAGAGGTATAGTCGGTACAGGGAGGTACAACTTGGGTGAGGAGGGCTCCTCTATAGGGTCTTCGCGGGATAGCATTGGAGTCTTTCTAGATACGGGCCATACATAAGGTGCGTCCCGGCCCGCGCCCGTGCTCGGTGACGGCAGAGGCGGCGTATACGGCTTTTTATCGATACCGTTAGCCCCCGGAGAAGTGTCACTCCGACTGTACAACAGACCGCGATGAGAGCTCTTCTCTACTACTGGTATGTTCACAGCCGAGGCCACTGGCGAACCACAAGTCCGACAAATCTCCGATTGTGATGCGTTGGTTGTTTCCATGAGGGCAGACCAGTCCGCTCCAACACTCGCGACATGTACCGTCGGTCTCAAAGGACTCCTAACCTTCACAGGCGTCGTGCGCTCATTCATGGCAGACCATCGACGAGCCACCTCAACTCGTCTCGTCAGTTCTCTGGCGTTTTCAATGTCCTGCATCAGCTGTCTCACAGATGTCTTAGGAGCTGCCCTTGTAAGTGGCTCGTCAGGACCTTCTCGTTTCAAGGGAGTGAGCTCTTGCAGTATAGCTTCTTCCAATGCAAGTTCCTTCTCGAAGGACCGTACCTCGGATTCACGACTCGGGTCGGGGTCGATGAGAATATCATCAGTCACGGTGGGAGCTTGCTCTTCCACTCTGCCATCTATCCACGCCTCGCTCTCGTCATCAGGTCCAGAAGAGTCCTCATCTTCTTTACGACTATCACTATCGGACTGCATGAGCATCTTAGGTGTTGTGCTCTCGCGTACGGTCTTCCGATATGACTTGCCATCATCGGGCTGGGCGAGCGACCGCCGTAAATTTTCTAAGACTTTCTTGAATTCCTCATCGCGTTCCGTTAGAGACTTCCTCGTGGTCTCAACCTGACTGTTACCGTCTAACGAGAGGCTCACACGCGTTGGATGAGCTCCGTCACTGACATCTGTGGTATGTCGCCGAGAGGGATGAGCTCCGTCACTGATATCTGTGCTATCTCGCCGAGATGGATGAGCTCCGTCACTGATATCTGTGCTATGTCGCCGAGATGGATGAGCTCCGTCACTGATATCTGTGCTATGTTGCCGAGATGGATGAGCTCCGTCACTGATATCTGTGCTATCTCGTCGAGATGGATGAGCTCCGTCACTGATATCTGTGGTATGGTGGTGGCTCCGAGCAGTCTCCGCGCTTGCTATATCATCATCAGTGAGAGAGGCATCTGCCGAGCTCATTCTAGGGCTTCCGTCAAGCGCAGCTGATCCCGGTGGAGACGAGTCAACAGTCATACCAGTCAAGTTATCTCTGGTAAGTTCTAAGTTGTCAAGTCTCGCAGCAAGGTCCTCACCAGAGGTTGGGAAGCTCTGGGAAGCTTCTGTCGCCACGAGGGAGGGCGGAGCAACAGCGGCAGCCACCGATTGGAAATCATGGTCACTGGGAGAGCTCTCAGAATCAGGCTGATTTTTCGGAGTCTCTGGACTGGCCTCATCTACCAGTACATCAACACTCCCAACCCTCATCTCTTCGACTCTCTCCGAAGGGAGTATTGATCGGTTCGAAATTAGAGAACTTTTCCGACCGTGCGAATTCGCCGCACTTTCCTTTCGCTGTGGATCAGTTGCACCAAGACCCCTCACTGAAACCTTGCTGGAAGTCTGCGAGCCTCCAACGATTGACTGTTTCCGAGACGGTGATATTAGGACGAGTTCGCCATCTGAATCGTACCTAAAATGAAGTACTATCGATTCGAAGGGATTCTCACTTACCCGAACATCGGCACGTATTCGCGGCCTTCAGGCAAAGTCAAGCGTCTCGACCTACCACGGTTTGCTGTTGTATCTGAAACGCGTTTTACTAGGACAACAATGAGGAGTTGTATGGCACCAGTAGTGTTCATCATATCTCCTCAGCCTTGCTTTGGAGGAATAACACAGCGAACATGAAGACGACAAACACAAGGAACTGGTTAGCTACACTCATCGTTAACCTCCATATTGACAACAAGTACATGGGAAAGGTTGATACAATTCACTAGGTGAGAGTGATAGCAGAACCCTCTAGTTATCGTCATACAGTAACAGTAGGAGGCTCAGAGGCACGAAAACGATGCAGTACTACTGGCCATAGAAGTTGGTATGCAATCAGGACCTCTAAGAGTGACGTTAATACTAAGAGCAGTAGTATTGAAGGAAGAAGAAGCCACAGAAAAGTATAGAAAAATACGTAACCTCGCCGAAGAGTGATATCGCAGGCTCGGGGACTGAATGTAGATTCGTAACATGAATTCGTACGCTGCTATAGTTATTGAGGAAACTCCTGAGCTCAGCTGAGGGCAGCGGACATATATTCTTCCAACAGAGTTATTGATAATGCGTCTTCAGCGTGGAAATTACTGCTAACGAAAAATACTACATTTCGTGCGGAACAATTCATCTGAGCCAGTGTGTGAATATATGCACATGGTCAACTGCATATGTTGCTAGGAATATGGAAATTTTGAGAAATTATCGTTGATTTTTGTATACTTCTACCCAAAATCGTGTGATTTTTCATAATATAGTAAGGAAACTTACGAGCTCAGTTGAGGAAACCAAACATATATTCCCTTACTGAACTAAGCAGTGAGGAAAAATATGCACATGGTCAACCACATGTGTTGGTGACAAGATGAAAATTTTGCGGAAATTTCTCATTGATTCCTGTACATTTAGATCCATATGTTAACGTGTATATTTCGTGAGGAAACTCTCAAGCTCAGCTGAGGAAAGCGAACATATGTTTTCAGCACTGAATCTGAGCGTTGGGTTTTTATAAGACTCACTCTGAGCACTATTCCTCCACCCGTCAGAATCTTATAAATTGCTATGATATCAGCGCACGAGTGATGGCATCATCCGGGCCTATTCCGTATCTTTCGCGCTTGGACCTAAGATTCTTCCACCTCATTTTGGTATTCCGTAATACGCCTCAAAACTACACTTCCGGACATACTATAATTGCCACCTCGCATATCAGTGTGGGAAAGCATGCATATCGTATCAACTTTAGTTTCAAAATTCTGAGGAAATTTTTGGGAAATTTTCATTGGTTTATGTGCACTTCTACCCGAGTTCAAACATATGACTTCTATAATTGGCGAGGAAATCTGCGCTCAACTGAAAAAAACAAACATATATTCCTAGAACACAGTTCTAGTGCATATAAATCACACAGTAGTTGTACGGCAACACATAGAAAGAGTCAAGCCTAGAGGTCGGTTAAGAGATGCATCGGTGGGCTCAGGAGGCTTACTCCTCTCTCATAGGGGAGTTCAGTAAAGCTCGACGATTCCAGTTCTTGAACCGATTTTCAAGATTCATCCTGGAGCCGTGCTCAGTGGATCCGATTCTGAAATTCTAGGCGATCGATTTGAGTTTCACCACCCGTTTTACGTGAAGTGGCGTAAAACTCGGTGAAAAACGCGGTGATATGCAGTGGTCGTGAAATATGTTTTTCATATCACTAGGGTGATGAAACTCCATTGTTCCAAGAACGCGACCTTGAAAACTGATCCTGGAATCAACGTTGTAACCCTCCTATTAATGATAGTATCAACATTTCCGTGCACGCATGCACATACGGCTCACGCCCTGATAGGTGTCACGTTTCATCCCATTGGTATCCGAATACATCTCTAGTAGTTATCTAGAGCGAAGTGATAGTGTTTTCCCTATCGAGGTAACACTACACTGGATATAATTGCAGGGCAATGCCTTCCAAGGCTGCCTCTTTATACTTAGCCAACGAGAACTATCTTCATCATAAGCTTAGCTACGGAAATCCTTGAGCCTTGAGAGACATATTGTGTGCTACGGAGGATTGGGACAGCGACAATGATGATGCAGCAGCACCTTACAGAAGGAGGACTCTCATCTTGATTGTCCAGTATTTCACCACGAATTAGTAGCGAACAGCCATAATTAAAATTATGATAATTTTATGTCTCAGCTTTGTGACTAGTATGATAACCCCTGCTTATGCAACAGAGTTGAGTGAAGTATCAGGTGGTGGTCCTGAAAGTGACTTTCGCACAGAGCAGCATCCAAGAGTTTCAAACGTACGTCGACACACACGTTTTCAGCGACAGGACGTGGCGGGCGCGGCGTCACCGGCGTCGGGCGAGCGAAAATGGCGGAGCGAAGCTCCTTTGCGCAACATTTTCAACGGTCGGTCGTGCGCAGACCGAGAACCACACCCTACGAGGAAAAGTGGAATCTGGGACAGAATTTTACCCCGGAAAAAATCAGTTTGCGGAATTTCAGATGTGAAATTACCCCCAAAATATGCACATTGCCAACTACATCTGTGAAAAAAATTCTGAAGAAATTTTGGGAAATTCTCATTAATTCATGTAAATTTCTACCCGAATTCGTAAAACCTGTGAAGCTCAGCTGAGGAAAGCGAACATACATTTCTACTCCAACATTGTAGTTTCACCTCCGGGCGTAAAACTCTATGTGAAAAACGCGATATTATTCGCGGTGATATGCAGTAGTCGTGAAATATATTTTTCATATCACTAGGGTGATGAAATATATTATTTTTATCAAGATCACTAAATATAGTAGTTTATAAACATGTATTACCTTAATAATTATATAACCTAATAGTATGCTTGCTCAAATAGTGATAACGATATAGTTTAATAATGTAATTTAATGGAGTTTCACCCGTTTTACACGAACTGGTGTAAAACTCCGTGAAAAACGCGATACTCACACTACGCAGTAGTCGTGAAATATGTTTTTCACTAGCGTTTTTCATATCACTAGGGTGGTGAACCTCC